AAAACACATTCCCAAATTCCTACATATTCCCCCAAATGCACCACAAATCCTGAGCGATGTGCCTTGAACCGAGCGATGTATCGCTTTGCCGGTTTCAAACAACTACTTGAGAGGGCACTTTCTTTAGTGTAAGTAATTGCAGCCTTGCCAATCAGCCATTTATTCGTTTAGTTCAGAAGGAAAGAGGTAATTTTGCCCTGATTATTAATCAGACAAATAAGAGACCAAAATATTTGAGAAAAACAATAACATTATTAAGTTAAACAACGATCGCAAAACAAATACGATATCTTGATCGAAGCAAAATATTGTTTGAACTTGTTCAACTACATTCAGCTCAATACCCCCGTCCACCACTCCACCCACCACTCTGCTGTCCAGCCCATGAACCTCCTTGACTTCCACCACTACCTCCCCAACTTGACTGACCTAAAATCAGCGAACTGAAGATCACGGCAACTCAGGAAAACCAAACAGCTTTTAAACTGCTAATTATTTTTATTGGATCTTTTCACTTACACTCCATTACAATCATATAATAAGCTAACTATGAACAACTTATAATCATCAAATAAACGAAACACAATAACATCATTAAGTTAAATATACCCCCCTACAAACTCTAAATAAATGTCACGTTTAGTACTCACCTCCTCCTTGCTGACCTGCCCATGAGCCTTGTGATCCTGCGCCTCCTGTCCACGCCGCACCACCGTTCACATCACCAGCTGGCCCACCAGTCCAACCGCCTGAAAACATCAATTACTTTAAACAACAAAAACTGACTAATTTTTTCAGAACGCTTATGCCATAACACAGTGGTACTGCTTTATATACCCCTAATTCAATAATATACAGCTAAGAATCGAACGTCCATAGTGAACCGATATGCAAACCCTTCGTAAATATCTCAGTACCACACACCTTGTGAGCCATAACCTCCTCCATAACCGCCCCCACCATAGCCTCCACCGCCTGAAAAATGTTGCGCCGCTATCAAAAAATTTTTCCACTGATTAGCACTCGAACAAAAGCATTCGGATCGTATTCCTGCTGATGCCTCGAGCCACCAAACGATGCTCTTCATCGCTTCATACTACCCACTATTCTCTGACTTTACAATACGACTTCCTTGTTAATAACAATCAATCAAACATAAACACATGCAAAAGTCATGCAGCAAATGTTCGAATGCAAACCGTAATATGGTTGTCTGCCACCGCTCGGACCCCACTGTTGCTCTGCTGGACCACCTGCCCAACCACCTCCATAACCACCCTCAGCGTAAGGTGGTGGGCCGTAGCCACGATCTGAGCCGTTTCGCATCGGGCCGCCACGAGAACGACCCATACGGCCGGAGCGATCTCGATCACGTTGTTGCGCCTTAAAATAATATCGTAGAATAAGGAGTTTTTCCTATTCTACACATTCGAGCTAAGGCTCAGCTTTATCTGGCAATAAGGACAAGGCTAAAAACACTCAACTATAAAGTCCTTAACCGACATTCCAGGCAAAGACTTACGAAGATAAGCTCAAGTTTATCAAGTCCACAGTAGCAGTATGGAATTATACAGCAAAACGCGGCGGTAAAAGACAAACCCGTGCCATTTCATCTTTGCTCAATGCCTTCTTCACGTCACACCGATAGTTGTTGATATGATGATTCTTGATCAAGACACACTTATCCACTGGGTCATGATCGTCGAATGAGATAAACGCGAAACCACGAGGTTTGCCCGTATTTTTGTCTGTTATAATCTCGACCTACAAAAAATTCAAGATTAACCAAGTTAATATATACCGCATTGCATCCATTCATCCGTTTAACATTGAATTGGAACCAAGCATTCAAAACTACATTTACCTTGGTGATATTTCCGTACTGTGAGAAATGATCATGAAGCATTTCCTCGGTATGTTCTTCACGAATACCCGACACATACAACCTTTTGGATGAGACATTCGCCTCAGTTCTCAACGACTGATCTCGTGGAACGGCTCGTTTCGGATCAACAGTTTTGCCATCAATCACGTGCGGTCGATTCGCCATCGCATCGTCAACCTTCAATGAAAATTCATTCTCAACATGTCTGTCTGTTCATCTATAACTGCAGCAATGACATCTACATTTGCACAAACTTGTGCAATTCCGGAGTGAAGAAACTATCGTTATCTGATCTCTATGTGATGCTTTTTAATAGAATTACTTTTAAGTGGTTATAAATAATTAGTTGAGTTAAAAATCGCTCAAGAGAAACACCACAAACCATTGACTGTTTCTTATAAACGATGAACCCAAATCCACGCGTTCGTTTCGTGGTCGGATCTTTCATAACAATACAGTCCAAGAGTTCGCCCCATTTCGAATAGAATTCCCTCAACGAATCATCAGTTGTGTCCGAAGATAGGCCTCCAACGAACACCTTGCGGAATTGTTCTGGCTCCAATTCACCGTCATCTTCCTCATGCTCTTGCTTTAGCTGCTGTAAGACAAGCTCTGTATAGTCAAAGTGTACGTTTCATGCATTGCAAATATTATTTTAAGTAAAATACTGGTGACTCTGAAACAACCACATGATTTGACATTGACTCTTGTGAATATGATCATACCAACAGTTGATAAGGAGATTGCTATCCACTGGGAGGAACACCATCACCACCACCTTTCAGAACTTATTTCACGAGACGACAAACTCATACACAATAAGATTATAACTAAGTAAAAGCTTACAGTGTTTTCTTCATTATTATTCATCGTTCCTAGTAAGACTGCACTCGTAGTAGTACACTGTCAAGGTAGAAGTGGTTGTAGTAGTTATGACAGCGTGTAATACCTGATACCAGTTAGATAGATACTTGTGATCACTCAAATTATGAGATCTGATCTGTGTGAGTTTGAACTGACAGTGATATGATAGTCCTTACACACCTGTACTGATTACGATCTAAAGTGATGAGCAGTTTGTAACATTATCACTAAATTACTAGCTGATCAAAGCTAGATTAGTTATTAAGTTATAACGATGAACTGGAGGAACAATAAAAGAAAAATAAGAAAAGTTGGCTGATGAAAACGGTCAACGATACTCCAAACAAGTTTCCAATGCAGCATAATTGCTTCAACGAATACAACGGTCGACGTGCGCATTATATTTCACAATAGCGATGTTTGGGGGAAATTTTCAACCCTTCCCGAGTTTTTCATCATTCTATGCCTTACCGAAGACTTGGACTGTCCCGTGGGAGCCGATTAATAGGGATCAAATCATCCAAAATTGTGGGTGGAATTCCTCGACGATATTTCGTCTGTCACTGCCCAAAAATTTGGTGAAATCTTTCGAATT